CTCAGAATGACTCCCAGATGCCAGCTGCTGCCTTCAGGTAATATATTTGAACTCTCATTACGCTGTTGGCCTCCTCGTAGAGATGTGGGTACCAATCAGGCAGACCTCAGTAGCTTTGGGTACAGGCACCTGCCTGGCTGGAGCATGTCCTTTCCTAGCAGAGTGGACACCCTGGGGAGGTGATAATACCTAAGCCAGGATAATCCCAAGTAGTGCCCTCAACGTTAGGGGCTCTTGGACCTGGCACTGGTCCTTCCTGGAAGCTCTGCCCCCTCTCTCCAGCCCTTTATCTTGTGTTGGTTCCTGGCATGACTCACAAATCCATCTGTCAGGGGTCAGGAGATGTCTCTGAGGCACAAGCCAGTCCCTCTGTGATCCGACACTGTCCAGTCCCCCTGACTGTGTTCGCACATTGCTTTGTACTATTTACACACGGATTTCCCTATCAGTCTGTAACTTCCTGAGACCTCCACGATGGTTGTTGATGCAAGGGGAGGCCTGCTAAACTAAATTGAACCCTGCTGGGAGGTACAAACTACCCCAGAATTCAATGTCACCTCACAGGCTGGTCTCTCTGATTTCCCAGCCTGAGGACTCACTGCCTTCCCTCCCTTCTCCTCGTTTCCCTTCCTTCCATGCTCTTTTTTCCCTCCTCTTTCACTTCCTCACCCCTTCTGTGCAAGGACAGACCTCTTCTGTATTCTCAAAGCCGGGCACAAGCCCTTGGGTGCAGTATGTGCTCAGTAAAAACCAGCGAGACAGCATCACGTAGAGGGTGCACAGTTCATGTCAGCCGTACAAGACGACGTCCACCTATCTGTGGGGGTGTTTTAGTGCAAAGACTAGGGCAGACAAAGGGTGTCTGCCTGACCACAGGTCAGGGCACAAGGAAAGAGACTGAGCCTGGACCCCTCTCGGGGTAACTGAGTGAAGAGCATTGGGGAAAGTCTGTGATCCAGGAGATGAACTCTTTTTCCCTATGATGGAGGAAGGTCATTGGCTAATAAAGGCACTGCCCTGGCCCATTTTATTGGTTAGAGGATAGGTGGGAGGAGTAAACAGAACAGGACGCTGGGAGGAAGAGGAAGTGAGCTCAGACTCGACAGCTCTCCTCTCTGGAGCAGACGCCTGGGAGAGATGCGATGCCCCACTCAAGGCATGAAGCTCCAACCCAGGATGGACTAGGCTAGAATCTTCCCGGTAAGACCGGTTCTCACAGATTATTAGAGATGGGTTGATCGGGATGTGAGAGTTAGCCTGTAAGTGCTAGAGCTAAAGGGCCAAGCAGTGCTTAAAAGAATACAGTGTCTGTGTAATTATTTTGGGGCATAAGCTAGCCATGTGGGCGGCCGGGTGTGGGGAACGAAGCCCCGCCACTCTTATTACTTCATATGGCGCCCACGTGGACAACTGCTTCCACATAAAGCCTGAGACAGCTTGGGAAGTAATTCTAGAACAAAATGAAAGCATTGTGCCTGGTTTCTTGGTAGCAGCAATTTCTCGGTTCTACTCTGCTTGCTAGAGGCAAGCAAGTGCCTCATCTAAGAGAAGCTTCCTGACTCAGCTTTAGCTGCAATGCCTGAAGCTCATTAAGAGGTCCTGCCACGAAACACTTAAACGGTGTTGACGAAAAGCTGAACGCATGCTTTTCGGTTTTCAGCCGTAGCAGGAAAAAAGCTGCGCCGTTTAAAAATGCCAGCTTTCTGGGCTGTCCTGCCAGGGCAAACTCTGACTGTTTGAGGCAGGAGGGCTGGCTACCGAGAGAGAGGACTTGAGTGTTGTCTGTTGTAGCTCACTTGCTGGCAGGGACCTTGAAATGCCATACAGTTGTGGCAGTAAACATGGCTACAGCCTGTATATCCGCCCTGAGGCTGGAAAGCTAAGGAATGGACTGAATCCAGCTGGCAAAGCCACGCCTTTAGTCCTACTGAGATCGCTTGGTAAATTAAAGACTCATGTGGTCAGAAAAAGAGAGATATACAGTAAAGAGAGATTCAAAGACAAAGAAAATTTCTAAATGGTTTGAAGTGTGTTAAAAATATATGCAGACTAAAATTTAAAGTTCTTAAAGTAACAAAAAAAAAGGAAGAGAGTTGTTGTGTGTGGTACACACCTTTAATCCCAACACTTGGTAGGCAGAGGGAGATAGACCTCAGTGACTTCTAGGTGTGGTAGCACACGCCTTTAATCCCAATGCCTGGGAGGCAGAGACAGGCGGATCTCTGAGAGTTCAAAGACAGCCTGGTCTACAGAGTTACTTCAGGTCAAAGATACAGATAACCTGTCTCAAAAAGCAAAGAGTTAAAAGTAAAAATAAACAAAATAGAGGTTAAAACAAAGCTGCACAAAGATGGAAAATACACAGAGAATCTTGATACTGTATGCTATTATGCTCTCTTTAAATCATTTAGATGCTGAGGAAGGAGCAACAGATACTAAAAGATATTTATTTATAAATTATGCTGAACTAATCCAACATAGATATTTTGAAAATGCCTTGAATTTGAAATTTGGATCTAAGGACATGATACTTTGGAAAGGAGTTTCTTATTTTGTTTTCACAGAGGATGAGACGCTGTTCATTTCTTCTATTCCGATTTGGTATGATGGACCACGCCCTCCTGAAGGGTTGGTGTGAACGCCTTCAAAAAATTGCTTCGCTCAACTGCCAACTGAGATGAAACTAGCACACAGGTTATACCATGAAAGACCTAATTAACGACGCCCCCATTCAGCAGGAAGCAGTTTGGAGAGAAATAACTGCGCCCATATTCCCAAAAAATGTTTATAAATGTTCTTTTACATTTAAAGGGGGATATGATATAGGTATGAATAATTTGCATTAGTATAGATTTTGCTTTATTGATAGAGATTTAAGGTCAATTTTGTTATATGTATAAGTGTTTCTGATTTTGATTAAGGTATTGTGATTGTGTAGTTCATTTAAATATGTACTGTATAATTAAGAAATATAGGTTGTTAATGGATAATCATCGATAATAGTAAAGCTTGTAGTCATGTTAGTTAATATTTTCTAGATGTGCGTAGATATATTTTAGATAGACATTCTTCATGTCTTTCAAAGATTACAGAATAGGACATTTAATGTTTTAATAACTGAGGACTTTTCATGACAATGAGACACTCTGCTCCTGGCAGCACCAATCTACTTCGAGAGGAAGATGGGCATCAAAGAGGATCCTTATGGAGTTTGATAGCCATTTGGGCAAGAAACTGTTCTTGCCTGGACTATTGCATAAACTGGACACAGAGAACCCGCAGAGAGAAGACTACTGAACTTGCCTAAGGTGAGATGATCTTTCGGGGTTCCTGATTCATTTTGAAAGAGTCTGCGAGACATTCTGCAGGACACAACAGATAGTGACTGAACTGACTTTGAATTTTCCTGCTTTATGGAAATGTCTGCTGGATACCATGGGCCTGAAGGCTGAAGATGGAAGCCCCAACGGTACAGAGGAACTTTGGGTGACTGTCCAGGCAGCGAGATGTCTTTGTCATTTCTAGAGTTTGAAGTTTCTTAGTTCTTGTTTACTTAGGTAATATTATATCTTTCTGGAGTCTTTGATGGAGTTAAGAATAGTTAGTTATAGTTATAGTTTTCCTTAGTCATGATAAAGATTATTGTAACTTTTACTTGATAACTGTTATGTTATATGTAATTTTGCTATGTTAAAGTTAAAGCTTTTTTTTTTTTTTGTTTAAACCGAAAAAGGGGAAATGATGGAGGAAGGTCATTGGCTAATAAAGGCACTGCCCTGGCCCATTTTATTGGTTAGAGGATAGGTGGGAGGAGTAAACAGAACAGGACGCTGGGAGGAAGAGGAAGTGAGCTCAGACTCGACAGCTCTCCTCTCTGGAGCAGACGCCTGGGAGAGATGCGATGCCCCACTCAAGGCATGAAGCTCCAACCCAGGATGGACTAGGCTAGAATCTTCCCGGTAAGACCGGTTCTCACAGATTATTAGAGATGGGTTGATCGGGATGTGAGAGTTAGCCTGTAAGTGCTAGAGCTAAAGGGCCAAGCAGTGCTTAAAAGAATACAGTGTCTGTGTAATTATTTTGGGGCATAAGCTAGCCATGTGGGCGGCCGGGTGTGGGGAACGAAGCCCCGCCACTCTTATTACTTCATCCCTACTCGGCCTCTCTCTCCTGCCTGAGGACTTTCTCCTCTTTCTCTTCCTTTCCCCTCTTCCTTGGGTCACGTGCTGCACCTCTGAGCTATACCCCAGCCCTTATTTAGTGTTTTGACACTAGGTCTCACGATATAGCTCAGACTGGTCTCGGATTCCTGAGCATTCCCTTGCCTCAGCCTTCTGGGTGCTGGGGATGACAGGTGTGTACTACCACACCCAGTCAGACTATTCTTTTGCTAATTAAGAAAATAAAACATTTCTTTGACTTTTCCTAGCTAGACCCCTGGTCAGTGCATGCCCGTGACCCAGTCTGCTTTCTCCCCTCTATCTGTAATTATTGCGTCCTTCTCGCTGTAAGCGGCTGTCCTACTTTCTCTTAATGATATTTCAGGTGCCTTCAGCAGCGTGGTCTCCCACCCTCAGGTCCAAGCTGCTGTGTAAGTAGCTTAACCATTACCTGGCCGCAGGGTGGGTGGCGGATTGCCGGTGCGGTTTTTTTCTACTGCCTTAAATATCCTGGTACTTGAAACTCTCTTCTCTTTTTAAATTAGTTCCTCAACGAGCGGTCCCAGGAGTGGGCTTATGGCGTCAAAGGGCTGTAATAGCCCTACTTACATTCTGGAGGGTGCACCTCCAAAAGGCGGGGCTGTGTGGTACACAGAGGGTCTATCTGCTCGTACTTGTGTAGCTTGTGCTCGGGTTGGTGGCAGGACATGGGTACAGCCTGGTACTCAACCACAGCTTCCCAGCACTGTCAGAGAGCTGGTGTCAGAGGCTGGCCCTCCCTTCCCAGAATCCCATGGCTCATTCCTGGCCGACACACCCAGGGGTGTGGAGAGAAGGTGGGGAAACACACCTCCAGGCAGGCAGAGAACCCTAATGTGAGCAGGGGTGGGAACGGGGGTATGAGATCTGATAGGGTGGAGGGCTGTCACCTCCGTCATGGGGAGACAAGCCTGAATCATGACGCTCCTTCCAGCAACTGCAGCTTGCACTTCTGACCCTGCCGACGCCAGCCCTGCCGTATCTCGCCGACTCACCCTCCAGAACCCGAGCAGGATATGCCAAGCCGGAACTGCTGACCAGCAATGGTAGCAGGAAGGTAAACAAAACGTTCTTTAACCCCAGATTCCTCCCATAAGAACTTTCGAGATCACAGCAAGCTGACCCTGCCTATTTAGGGAACTAGCTGGGATTTGCTAGTCTTCAGCCCAATGCATGGGGTATACCTGTCCTGCCTACAGCTGTCAGAGCCCCTGTTACCACCGAGCCAATCATCTCCTTTCTAAGTCAGGTAGGATGTGGCTGTAGGTGGCCTCACCCAAGACGCCCAGACTCTGGCAAGCCTTGCTTCTCACTGTTGAATTGTGGTGGAGGTGGTGGTGGGTTCGAAACCCTGAGCACCCTGGGCAGCTCTCCTGGAGGTGCTGCCATATTCTGCAGTATCTTGCCATTCCTTTCAGCGCTAACACGTCACTGACTGCTTTTGGAACCTCTGTTGACCCCCACTTCATCCCAGGTTTTCTGTAGACAAGGAGACCTAAGTGGGACAGGAGGGGTCCCTAGTCTCAGGGAATACCCTTCTAGGCCAGGGGAGTCTAGATGGCCCAAACTCCCGAGTTAGAGTAACCCAGGACCCTGGAAGACAACGTCCCCCACCCCTCTCTCCAACAATCCTGCTGCCTCTGAGGGACTGACCAAGACCAAAGCAATCAGGCCTGCCTCTGCCCCATCACCATGCCAGGGACAAGTCAGCAGAGATAACAGAGTGAAGAGATAGGGTCCCTTTTCTAGGATTATCCTCAGGCCCCACATACCCTTGGGGGTGCTGTTTATACCCACCCCTCCACCTGTGGAACCTCTGACCTTTCCCCTCCCCTCTTTGACCTTGGCTTGTTCTGTTCAAGGTAGATCCCCTTCCTGTGGGACTCAGGGCCTCTAGTTTTGGGAGTCACGTCTCACCTCCTTGCCCCCTGCTCTGTGATTTTCTGGTCCCACTGTGGTCCCATTCCCTTTTCCAAATTGCTCACTTTCCCCCATTTGTCCTTAGCTTTGCCCAGAGATTGGTATTCAAAGCCATTTGGTTCTTTCATAAGAAAATCCCCATACTGTGCTACTTACTTCCCGAGATGTTAGCCATCTTGCCACCATGGCTTTTGTCTGTCCCTTTGGAATCACCAGTGTCCCCAGATTCTAGATTCTGGGTTGTTTCCCTCTTGGGCAGAGAGAGGCAAGTAGGTGGTTGAGGGCCATCTATGAAAGCTTCAAAGCATGAGCTAGAACCAGGAGGCACCCCTTCCTCCAGCCCCGAGGAGTCCCTGCCACTGTCCTGGGACTTAGAAATGTCTTCACCTCAGCCAAAGGCTGGACGGGTCATGTCTATAATGGTATTTCTCGTTTTTCTTGTGACTAGGTTTGGATTGTTCAGACAATGGGTTCTTGTTTCCCATGCCTGATGCCTCATGGGAGCTGTCAGATCTCATCACTGTCAATATACTTTTAGGTTCCAGAGATGCCAACCAGCCCCCCAAACTGTTCCCTGGGTACTCCTGCTGGGGGTTGACTACCAAGAGGCTGCAGCTCCCACAGAGCTGACTAGGCTCTGTGCCTTCCGGGGCTCAGTCCTGCTCACTTGCCCACCGACCCTCCCCCCCTTTAATCATGTGAATACCGGTCTTGCTTTTCCAAGTCCTAATATGCTGCTACCTGGGGGATAGCGCCCACCTTTCCAGAGGTGACCGGGAGAAAAACAGAAACAGCGACGCTTTGTTACCGGCATACGCGAGGCAGTCCCCTTGTGGGAGAGACAGGTTTTTGCTTTGACTGGTGAGAAGGCTGGAGATCAGGGCGGCTCTCCTCCAAGGGATGCCAACCATGAGGGGTGGGACCAGAAGAAGCTGTTGCCAGCTCTAACTGGTCAGTGGTGGCAGGACCACAGGAGAGAAGGCAGAGAGGCAAGCATCTGGAAGAAGCAGGCTGAGGCAGTGGTAGCCACCAGGGAAGATGGGAGAGAGGGGCGATTTAGAACGGTGAGGTGGGATTTCCTGCTCTCTGAGGGCCCAGGAGATCTGGAACTAGAGGGAGGGCAGGGACCCCCAGTAGAGTGGCCCCAGGAAACAGCTGCTAAACTTAGTTTCTTATCAGGCTTTTAAAATGCAGACAGGATATTCACATTTAAACAGCTTCTGTTACTCCAGGGCAAACTTTTAAAACATAATATTTATAGAGCACCTCATTCCGCTACCCCATTTGTTCTTTGTCTCACCTGCAATCACTGCTAATTTGGTGGCGCTTTCCGCTGGCATCCCCACCCATGGCCAGCCACTCCTGAAGCCAAGCTCCAGTCTGCAGCCACCAGAAGGGGCTAGACTACCTGTCCCCACTCCCTACCCCTGTTCACAGACAGAAGACAACTATCGCTCTCTCGTACAAGGGTCCTTCTCTCCCCTATGCTAAGTCCTTTCAGTCCTGGGGTCCAGCTCTGAACAAAGCAGGGAGTTGCTAGCTCCCCAGGGCTCCCTGACTGGTTGAAATCCAAGGCCTTGCCTGAGGCTGAGCAGTGTAGAGAGTGAGGAGGATCCTTTGTCTCCTCCACGCTGCAGCCCCATCAACTGTCCAGCACCCTGTGTTCACTTAGGACTGTGCCCAGCAGGAGGAGGCTCTGGGAGGTATTCCGGTCACACAGCAGGCTCCACGACTGGATAAACACAGGCCACCATCAGTACCCCCTTCCTCCCATCTCTCTCTGTTCTACAAGCTCTCACCAAGTCCATCTCCCTTTCTGGACAATGCCGGGAAGACCACACCTCCCGCCCTCAAAGGCATTCGCATTCTAGGGGTGCCACATACCAGTGGCATATAAGGAGACCCCGAGGACTCAGAAGATCGCCAGACATGCTGGAGGTGAGGTGGGAGGGGAGAATGTCCTGGACACAGGCTCCTGATGAGCCCTGCCCTGAGATGGTGTGTGGGTGCTGGAGTTGAAAGCACTGCCCTTTCCAGCCTCACCTTCCTCTTGCCCGATGGGGAAGTCAAGCAAACCTGGACACACGAGGCAACGGAGCTGACCAGCACCAGTGTTCTGCTGCTGTTCCTAGAGCCACAGGGGAGCCAAGCAAGCATTGGGACGCTGGATTAAGCCGCATGGACCTCATCCTAAAGTGATGGAGAAGGCTGGACCTGCACTTTGGTGCGAGTACAACCCCACAGCTGCTCTAGCAGGATAGAGCTGGCAGTGTGGCGTCTCCCGGGAGTCTGCTGGTCACCAGAGGCATCACCTTTGCCAGGAGGCAACATGGCCACCTGGGTGTCTTAGGCATGTGGTCCACTTGATGACAGGGTGTCCACCCCAGGGAATAAAGAGAGAATGCACAAGGGCTGCAGAGCAGGTGGGGGTGGGGCTAGCAGGCTGTGCATAGCTGGAGAACCTGGGGTGAAGGGGGTTTGCTGAGCAGGAGGGAAGAAGAGACAGTGGTGTTCTCAAGGGGACAGGGAGAAAGCAGAGGGGGAACAGTCCCGGGATGAGACCATCTCAGGTCCCCAAAGGGAGAAGGGTAGGATACCTGGTGGATGAGAGCACGGGTCACTGGGCAGAATCCAGGTGAGCCAGGAAAGCAGAATGACTACTTCATCACCAGTCCAGACCTGAGAGTGGATGCTCTCTCTCCCATCGCATGCACTGGTCATGATACACGCAAAGCATCCTGCAACTCACCCAGTCTTCGCTGCCATTTTACAGAGGAGAGACCCAAGGCTCAGAGAGGTCTGGTGACTCTCTCAATGCCATACAGCTGCCTAGTGGCAGAGAAAGATCCTTGCTCAAGTCCAAGGTAGATGACGACGGTCTATTGTTCACACTCACACGGCACTCTCTGATATCCTATCTCCCCTCGGTGGCAGCCCTCCCAGGGGACACTCTGGGTCTCCAACGATGGGGATGCTCCCAAAGCATGCAAGGGTCTCTGATGGAAGGCCTTCCTCACAAGGCACCAGTAACTTCTGCACCCTCTCCTATAAGGGGAACTGCCACAGTCATTCTAAGGGACAGGCGTCAGTTCCCCTTCCCACACCCATGCCTAGCTCTGCGGAGCGGAGACCCTGGACCTTCACTCATCTTTACACCCATAACAAACAGGGCAGGAACTGGCTACAGTGTCAGCTTTAAAGTGGGAACATCAATGCCTCGCCTGATTGCCTCTATTGGGTAGGAAAACATGGTCGCCAGGTGACCTTGGTCACAGGTAAGCTGGGGGTGGTAGCGCTGGACAGGGCTGGGCGTTATATGGAATAGCACTTCATTGATACTTTGTCTGGGCTTCATCCTGATTCGTCCCATCCATCCATCTATCCATTCATCATCTATCCATCCATTCTTTTCAGTGTTTGAGGTTCCTGGAACCCTGTCCAAGCAGAGACACAATGTGGCACCAGGAAGAAGAGTGGGATGAGACCTAGTCAGGGGAGTGATGGTTGTCGTCAGGAGAACTTCCTGAAGGTAGGGGCACCTATACTAAAGGCCCTGTCTCCCTTCCTGAGAGCCCTTCCTGAACGAAAGTGGGAGCAGTTAGGGTAGCGTCAGAGAGGGAACGACTTAGGGCCTGATGGTCTATCGAGTGGAACAAGATCCCAGGGTTGAATCGGGTCCTCATTCACAATTAGACTGGAGCCAGGCAAGCAGAGCTGAGGATGGAGGGGAGAGGAGGAGGCGAGAGAGTAGCAGTAGAGAGAAGAGAGCCCCAGCCTGTAGTCAGGACTGGACCAGAGCTGGGGAGCTGGGCTCAGCAAGTCACAATGATTCCCCAAGAGCTGTGCTGTGCTTTCTGCAAACCATGGGGTGAAAGAAAGGCTTGGTCTTCAGGGATATGAGCCGAGTGGGAGAGGAACGCGGAGGTCAGGTGGTTAACAGGCAGTAGGGGTCCCTGTGGGGTCTGATGTGGGATTGACAGCACTGGATGACCTGTTTGGGTGAGGTTGCTCAGGGAGAGAGGGAGTGACTAGGACTTCTATTTCTTTGCAAGGCTCCCAGTGCCAGCCTGAGGGTGGAGCCTCAGGAGGGCCAGTGCATCAGGAAGCGGAGAAGGGAGAGTTTTCCGGTTAGGATCCACCCCTGTCCTAAAATAGCCTGGATATTTCAGCAAGGGAATACTTAGGACGTTCCCCACTGCCTGGCTGAGGGTTGCAAGGACAGAGGTCCCTGGCTGGGGGTGGAGGGTCCTGGGAGTAGCATCCAGTTAAGCCAGACCAACCTAGAAACTGTGTTTAGACAACACAGAGCCCTTTCCAGGCAGCCTGTGAGTGGACCCCAGCCTAAGGGAGACACCCTCTGTCCCTGCCTCCAAAAGGGATTCAAGAGTTATGGGAGGGATAAGCCTACTGCCAGACAAGCTAAGGGCAGGCAGAGGGAAAAGAATCCATCTTATCTGAGGGCCTAATGGCTATCTGGGAATGGCCTTGACAATCAGAAAAGGTCCAGGGGCCCCACAAGGGGCAATATCAATAGAATCATTAAACTTGTAAGGGTGGGATAGCTCCAAGGACCTAGGAACAACCTGGTGCTGATTCTGCCCCCAAGTGAAAAGAGGCCAGGGAGGTTTGGTGGAGGCCAGTCCCGGTGACACCATCTGTGAGACTGGCCACAACCTCAGACTCCCGGGAGCCATTGCTAGGTCCCTCCTCCAGCTTCCATACCCTCCCTACTGATCTGCCACCCCATAATCTTCTCCTTGGCAAAGAGGCAAAGGGCCAGCCAGGAAAGGAGAGGGTGGATGCTGAGTGCGGGTTCTTCCCTTCTCTAGGGTTGACCTCCTAGGTTTCTGGGTTCAGAGAGCTGGGGTGTTGGTTCAGAACATTCTTTTGGATCAATTTTTCCTGTTTCTGTCACTCAAAGGTAGGAGCATGAAGGGGAGTGGAAATGGTTGGCTGGGGTGATGTGCTTGGCTTCACCTCAAGCTTGGGATGGGGGTTGCCAGAGGGTTTTCTTAAGGCCAGAAAAGGTAGACACGGAGAGATGGGTAGGGTAGTGCAGCCTACATCTGTAGGGCACTTCCCAGAGACTGACCCAGTCAGAGATGCTGGGTTCTGCAGCAGTCAGTACTTTCTGTCTGGGGACCCTCTGACCCTGTCACTGCTGCCTGCGCTGGGCTTGGGGGAGGGTGGAACAGCTATGGGAGGCTCAGCTGGGGAGGCGTGTAGGAGTGTATACTCTGCTAGCTCTCTCTCTCTCTCTCTCTCTCTCTCTCTCTCTCTCTCTTTCTCTCTCTCTCCCTCCAACCCTAGACCTACCAAGAGCAAAGAAAGCACCACGGTCATCCATGCTTGGTACATACCCAAAAATACACCATCATTTCGGAACCCTGGCTCCTGGGGAGGCAGGAAGAAGACCCCATCAGGGGAAGGGTGGCAAGGCGGGTTAGCGGCAGGGGCTGCATCCTCTCTGGTGTGTGGGTTTGCTGTCCCCTGCAGCTGTCTTAGGAAGTTCAGATCCTGGTTGGTCTTTCTGGTCCGTCTTCCCTCTCTGCAGCTCAGCTCCATTCTCAGTCCCCAGGCTGTGCAGCTCTGAGCCAGCTCCGGGCTCACTATCAAGTCACTGAAGGTCCTGCCTGGCTTTGTCCATGCTGGTCACTCTGCCACCTGGCCCTCTGCTCAGAGCTGAGCTACAGCATGGCCCAGGTCCAAGTCTGACACATGGCAGGTCCCAAGGAGGGAGGTTCAGGGGCTCCCACACTAGTGGATCTTGAGGACTCTGGAATGGGGAATGGCCAGGAAGAGACTTTATCTGAGTTTAGAGAGTGTGGAGAAAGGAGTGAACACTTGTGTTCTGGAGAGCTCTCTCTGGGTGGGCAGGGGGTGTGGTGTCTCCAAACTCTGGGATAAGTGTGCCACCACCCTCTAGAAACTGCTACCTGGAGGGGGCATCTGTCAGAATGAGCACCAGGTGCTTCTCTAAAGATCTGTCTTGGCAGGCACACCTGGGAGATCCAGGGACATGGCTATACACAGCTCTATGCATGCTTGCACACACACAGTCCCTACAGGTGGCTCTCTACACCCCTGTACACACACAGTCCCTGCGTATGACTCCATGTACATCTGCACACACACACACACACACACAATCCTTGCATGGGTCTGCATACACACACACACACACACACACACACACACACACACACATACACACATGCACAGCCCCTGCATGCACACATATGACCAAAAGCACTGATTCCCTTCCTCAGGCACTTAACTACATACTTGCCACCACATGCAGTTCCACACACAGCTACATACTTACTGCACCCCATACTAATGGGACATACACTGGAGTTAATCCCTAGGGGTTTGCTCTTTCCCCCACCTGCCATGGCCAGCAGCTGTGGGTGCCCCCCACCCCAACCAGAGCCCTAACATGGGAGCCAGGTAATGCCATTTGCCTCAGATTCAACCCGCAGCCTTCTAAAACAGTGGCGTAAGAGTGGGGGAGGATGTGCAGCCTTGGTCAGAAGGCTGGCGGTTATGAATAAATTATGCCAGGGAGGGGAGGGCAGAAGGAAGCTCCCGTATTGGGGGGTTCTAGAGAGGACAGCTCAGGCCAGTCATGACCCCCCCTGGACCACAGACACACTCCGAGCTTGGCTGCTATGCCGCAGTACCCCTCCAGCTCGGCAATAAAGCACACATGCTCTCAATAATTCAGCAGCCAGAGAGGAACGTGGGCAGGAGGATGCACCTCAGCAGAGAGTGAGGTGGGGGACACAGCATTGTCTGACTGCTGATTTAAAGTGGCGGGCAGAGTCTTCCTTTCTTACCAGCACCATGCGGCAGCCACCTAGGTATGACCTGTTCTTGGGCGGGCTCCTGGAACCACTCTATTTCTCC